ACAAATATATGAAAGGCTATGACAAATATATGAAAGGCTATTGCAAATATATTACCGGCTGTGACAAATATATTAACGACTGTTACAAATATATTAAGGACTACCTCGAAAAAATATTTACGGCTATGACGAATATATTAACGCCTATCTAAATGAAGTTACTGCTATTGTGCCCACTGTATTAATGGCCAGTGGAGTCAACTAGACAAAATGGCGGCGGAGGTGGACGATTTAGAGGCCTTTTTTTCTTCACTCGATTCCTTCGCTTTTTCGTCAAGCTCAGCGAAATCTACACAGTGATAATCTCAATGTTTTAGAGTATTTTGAGCGCAGGTTAGATGATCACGCCCACGTCATTAGATCCGTTATTCTACAATGCGAACAACAGAGCGCAAGCGAAGACTAAATTCAGCTGTTGGATTTGGTCCATGAAGAAGTCAACGGTTTAAATGATCAGGTCCAAGATTTGTGTAATACACGGAGAAACTTTGCTTCGGAAATGGGATTCTCGTGTCCAGTGGAACAGTCTACAGGGCCAGGCAGGCCAAGATTTCACATTCCCGAAGAGGTAATCAGAGGATTACATGATGTTCATGGCGTTTGGATAGAAGTGGCCAAAGAAGCACGTGTTTCTTACAAAACAATTCTACGAAGGCGACATCAGTATTCCATGGCAGTTAGTAACACAACTGGTCCAAGAATCACTTACTCTGATATTTCAGATACAAGACTTTGTGAAATTATTGGTGAAGTACTTCAAGTAATGCCAAATGCAGGCGAAACGTACGTAATTGGGTCATTACGAAGTAGGGGAATGTGTGTTCAGAGGTGGCGTATACGGGAAGCGATTTTTACCGTGGACCCAGGTAGCCGTGCTCTCAGGCGATGTCAGGCAGTTGTAAGGCGAACATACAATGTTCCCTGCCCAAATGCACTTTGGTAAGATAAATTCAAATTCTTTAATAATTATCCAGATCCTGGAGATAACCCTGGATAGCCAACCGTAAAATTTACGGTGCAACGGTTTGTAAATAAATTACACTTTGGCATTTCATGCTGTAAATGCGTTCAGTTAAGTGGGAATCTCCACTACTGTAGAACCTTTTAAAGCCCCCCCACTCGCTGTCGTGTCAATGTCATTGCTCTCAACAACTCTCATAGGATCGTGCAGTCAGATGTTCTTGATGCAAGCATAAGTGACCACAGCGTTGTTTTTTGTACCATCAAAGGGGGTGTCAAAAAACTACCGCCCAGGGTGTTCGAGTATCGCTGTTTCAAAAACTATGATAAAGATACATTTCTGAAAGACTTAAATTACGTTCCATGGTCTATTATTGAGAGCACAAATGACGTTAATGATGCCTTACACCTTTGGGAGAGCCTTTTCAAAAGCGTTGCCGACGATCATGCTCCGATGAAGACAAAACGAGTTAAGGGAAAACAGTCTCCTTGGATTACGAAAAAGCTTTTAGAGATACGGCGTGATCGTGATTACCATAAAAAGAAGGCGCGAATTTTAAATTCCAAGTACAACTGGCAAATGTACCGAAAGCTGAAAAACTGTGCAAATCGAGAGGAGAGAAGGCTTAAATCGGAATATTATTGCCGTTTAATAGAGGATGCTAAAGGTGAAAGTTGCAGGATGTGGAAAGCGATCAAAGAAACTCTTCCATCTAATCGCTGTGAAATTAACGCAATCTTTTCTGATGGGAAATTGCAAACTGATCCTACAAGCATTGCCGAAACTTTGAATAATCATTTCTCAAGCATTGGCAAGAAGCTTGCCAAAGCCTTTAGCGGTGCTTTGCCGGATCAGTGCTTTGCATGCAGCTCAAATTTTTCTCTCCAGCACGGAACAATATCCTTTGTTGAAGAGCAGTTGAGTCAGCTGAAGATCAATAAGGCCATTGGACTGGATAACATCAGTGCTCGCCTGCTCAGAGATTCAGCAAGTGTACTCGCTCGTTCACTACGATATATCATAAACCTGTCCCTGGAAAGTGGCCGATTCCCATCTTCATGGAAATGTGCTAAAGTAACTGCGCTCTTTAAGCAAGGTGACAGAAGTGATAAAGATAACTACTGCCTGATTTCTATCCTTCCCACCGTCAGCAAAGTGATCGAGAAAGCTGTACATTCTCAACTTTATGGCTACCTTGCTTCCAATAACCTTTGTTTTGTTAACCAATTTGGTTTCAGATGTGGAAGATCTACCAGTCTAGCTTTAACTCAGTTTACCGATGAGGTACTAGGAAATTTGGACAAAGGATTAGTTGACGGTGTTCATATGGTGTTGCCAGGGGTTGCAGGAATGAAACGCTTTTCTTATTTTGCTCGTTTTCTGGAAGTAACTTTGCGGTGGTCTCACTCTCGGCATGCTCATAAACCAGTTCTTCGGCCTCGGCCTTTGAGATTTCAGCTTTAAGTTTTAATTGAGTTTTGCATTGGCGTAATTTCATTTTTCATTCTTCAATTTCATGCAGCTTCCTAAGCGTTGCGACTTCAGCTTTTAAAATAGCTGTTTTTGCTGTGGCTCTTGCCCTGGTGCTAGCGGAAGAATTATGCGACATAGGTGACAAACGCGAAGAGCGTGGTGATCGTGACGAGTGTGACATGACAGTCCTTAAACTAGCGTTTGAAATACTGTCTTCGGGATTTATCTCATAAGATCTTAGTAACCTTGAAGCTTCCACCCTAGCTAGCAAAACATCTACGTTTTCTTGAAGCTGTTCTACTTCATTGAGAACTGATTCGTAATAATTTCCGGATTCTCCGATTGGCTGTGGATCTTCTAATTGATTATGAAACGCCCCGTGCGCCTCTTGAAATTTCTTAAACGCTTGCTCTCGTTCAGCTGACTTTTTTATTACTTCATCTGCATTGCTTTCCTCAGTCATTAGACTGGAAATCTCCTTAATCTTCTTAGTCATGATGCCTTTTGCGCTGCTGCATGCCTTCTTTGTTTCCATGGTGTCTTGATTATGTTAAGGTATCAGTATAACCCATTTGACCATTGGCGTGCAGTCCACTCTAGCGTTCGTGGTTTTAACAAGAACCGATATAAACCATATATTTATTGGAAGCTCAATAACTACAGATTGTGACCCGACCTGTTTAAAACGGTAAAAACTGGCCGTGTTTCGAAAATGTGAATATGTTTACAAAGCTTCACAAACCCATAAATCAAGGTGTACACCCGTTAAATTTAGGTCGGTGAAAACTAACATGGCGTCCATTTCTTCACACATTGATCTCAAAAACTGTGTCTCAGATTTTTGGGACATGCGTTTGTTATTATTTTACAAGAGGATAAAGTTAGAAAAGGGAAAAAATAGGACTGCCTGCAGAAAAGAGGCATAACGTTTTAAAGAAAAGAATAATCAAAATTTGCAGACACGGTGTTGTCGGCAAACGTTCTGACAACATTCTCTCCAAATTTCAGCCAATTTGGTCCAGGGGCTGCCGACCTGGAACTCGAAATGATCAAAACACTTGTGCAAAATTTTATGACACATTTGTGTGTTGTGTTTTGGTAGGCCCTTTTCTTAAATGTAATTAAGTCTTCGTAAATTAAACGCTAAAATTCTGATGCTATCCGAAGAAGTTAAACAAAATGTTCAAGCGACACAACCTTTGTCCAATCTAGTTTTGCGAACAATGGTTTAGTAACTTCAAAGCTATCTTTAAAAAAAGCAACAAACTCAATGAGCTGTATTCCTAGCAGACATAAGACATTGCATTTTATTCATCGTCATACCAAAGAACAGTTTGTACTCTGTTTGAATGCCTTAGTCAAAAATCATGACCAAGGAGGCCCCAAAAATGGGAATAGAATTTGGTTGGAAAACCGTCAGTTCTTGGCTATTTACCCTATTCCATTTGTGACAAAGTGGCATGACATTCTGAAAAAGTCAGCTCGCCCTCGGAAAGTTTCTGATCTTCGGATGACATAGTGGAATCAAGCTATTCTAAAAGCCAGTCTTGGCTCTGCGGTCAACAGGTCCCTCAGTGAAAAAAGTATTATAAAAGGCGTGCATTCCTAAAGAATGCCCTGGGAGGTTTTAACCGTAGTGTTATTGTCCGCGCATAATGCGTGGATAGCATTGCGTGACTGGCGCGAGTTCTCGAGCTGGTAGAAATACCGCATTGGTTTTTCCCCGAGCTCAGTCCACTGTTCTTTACTACGGAGTATGCAGCCTTCAATCGCTTCATCGTCCATTGCTCGTAAAAGGTCTTTGATCTCAAGCAACCGGGAGCGATGATCTCCGTTGTTCAGATCCGCGCGTGATTGAAGGTAGCAAAATTCCCTTTCGAGAGCGGCACGCTCTTTCGAGTGTTTCCGGCAGCCATGCTGTGGGCAATGGCAATTTCTTTAAGTTGAAGTTTGCCCGCATCCCACCAAACCGTAGGGTGTGTGAATACGGGTTTTCTTAATTGCCATTGTGGTCAGAAATTATTCACTTCGGCACAGAAATCTTCTGATTTTAATAGCCGCGTGTTAAATTTCCAGACACCTCACCCACGGGGATAGACCATTTCAAGGTTACCGACGCCATTTTGCCAGGGGTGCAAAACTATTGGGGCGAGCGCGTGGCCAAGCCTGAAAATGCTAATGGCGACACGGCCGACTAATCTGTTGTTATGCCAAGCCACGCTCGTTGTGCAGGGGGATTTTCGTGATAATGATAAAAGATATCCAGAACTCGCTTATGTTAGATCGCATGTGCAGAAATTGACTTATCACAA